AATACCATTTTTTTTTGGGAGAAAAAATGAAAATAACAAACAATTTGAAAGTGAAAATACTCTAATAGGCGGCATACACGGTGCGTCTGTCCCCCGTACGGGACTGCAGGACTGATGAATCGATAGCTACCTAATAAACACCGTCAATTACTGACCGACACTTGCAGTGTATTTCATCGATTACTTTTACAAGGCAATGTCCTAGGCGGTAGTCACCATCGGCTCGTCGTAGTTTTTCGCCCTTGGTTCGACTCTGCACTACCACGGGTTAATAGAGTAGCTAATTACCTAGGAGTCGGTGCAGGAGCGGTTCAAAAGTAGCGATTGACTCCAGCAGTACTGGAGGGGGCTTTAACTTTTATAATAATTTAATTAAAATTGGCTTAGGGACTATGACTGTGTCCCACGGTTTTCTAGTTATGGTTGCTAAGTAAAGTGGAAACGATTAAAACTGCAAGAAAGACAAATTATATTCTTATGGGAGACAATTATGGCAGATACGAGGGTGGTTACTTAAGCATAGCACTTGTGTGAGAAAACGTCCAGAGTACGTTTAAAATGTTAAACTTTACAATTGCAATGCAAGTTTTCACATACTATTTAATTTATTTCTGTCATATTTTAACACTTAAGTAGCAACCCTCGTATCTTAATGAATTGTTTACACAACATAGAATAAAGGCTCTGACAGGAATTGGTGCAATCTTAACGTTTTTCTAAGAAACGAGCGATATGTAATATTGTTCTCGACCCAAAAAAGATTGAAAATTCATTCAATAAAGGAATTCAACAAAATTTCATATGGGTTCGGTTTCATGTGAACTAGAACTGTTTAATTGGCCCTACTAACTTTAATAAAATAAAACAAACGAAAACACATGTCATTGTGCAATAAAATAATATTGTAAAGTGATAGATACCAAATGGTCATGTATGTATGTATATAGTTCAAGTATAATAAGTGTCTTAATAGCGTTAATACCACTTAGTTATAAGAAGTACAGTGGACGTCCAGTATACGACTTCGGAATAACGAATTTTCAAGTTTAATGAATCATCGTTTCGATGTTTCTATATTACAACCGCAAAAGATTTTTATTCGATATAACGAACGACTATTTATGTTTTGAGCTGATACTTCGCATTCTTTGCAAAAGCAAGGTTTGGTTAAGTCAGCGGTAGTTTAACTGAGAGAATGTGTAGGTATGTAGTATGTTTTAACATGAAGTTACTTTTGGTATTAAAGGATTTGCAAAAAATCGCAGTTAAAAAAAGCTTTGAAAGTGTTAAAAACCAGACGCGAATTGAAGACTTTTTCTAAATAGTTATAAACGTGAATTTTGTTGTCGTTGAATTATTGACCATATATATCATTAATATGATGCTAATCGCAATGGCCGTAGAAGTGGTACAGATAAACATACAGAACAAAAATTGATTTATTAAATATTTCAGTTCTTTTGTGAGTAGTCGTGGCTATCACAAAATTCATCGTAGTACGATTTTTCTTAAACCTACACCGATCACTGAATCCGAATTGCTACGCCACAAACGGGCGTATTCAAAGCACAGCCTGCGTCCATAGCTACTCGAATTCAATGATAGCATTTTCGTGCATTTCACCAAAAATCTGACCACGATGTATTCTATGATAGCCCTGATTATTATAGCGGGAACCATTCTCCTTTAGAAGGCTAAATCTAAAGAAAAGTTCAAATGCTTTTATTCCACATACATACATACATGATATCCTTAAAGTACATTTTAAGTTTTTTAAAAAAGCTTGTTTTCTAATTTTTCAAGTTTTAACGGATTTCTTAATAGAAACACAGGGTGCACTACAAGGGTTTGTGTAGCAGCTAATCCATTACTCCCCATAGCGGTCTTGATTTCTCCATGTTGAGTTTTTACCCGATTTGACATCACTGCCAGCCTGTAGCAAATCAGCTGTTTTATTATTGCTGCTGACGTTTCTTTATTATCAAAATTTAGTTCGTGTAAATAAAAAGAATTTGCCATATTGAAGAAGATTTGAGTCAATAAAAAAAAAATAGTGTGACGATAAATACGAANAGATTTGACATCACTGCCAGCCTGTAGCAAATCAGCTGTTTTATCATTGCTGCTGACGTTTCTTTATTATCAAAATTTAGTTCGTGTAAATAAAAAGAATTTGCCATGTCGAAGAAGATTTGAGTCAATAAAAAAAAAATAGTGTGACGATAAATACGAAATAAATATTATAGAGCTATAGTGAACCCGTTCAGTTCATACGTAGTTTAGTATACAAACGTGAAAACCAGCCGCACACAGCAATGGATACCAAGTTGGATGTAAGTACTCCATAACATCAACGTACTACTACGTAAGTATGTGCCACTATTAAGGTTTAATCTTACCCCACTTAGATGTTCGAAGACAGCATTTCGTCCTCCAAACTGGAAGGCGATATGTCGATACCAGGCGCACGTAAAAATACCACNTACAAGCCGCACACAGCAATGGATACCAAGTTGGATGTAAGTACTCGATAACATCAACTTACTACTACGTAAGTATGTGCCACTATTAAGGTTTAATCTTACCCCACCTAGATGTTCGAAGACAGCATTTCGTCGTCCAAACTGGAAGGCGATATGTCGATACCAGGCGCACGTAAAAATACCACACAAATTGGCGCACCAGATTTCAATACACTCGATGAGCCTATCAAGGAGACATTCGTAAGTTATTAGGCCGAAAGCCCAATCACACATTCGTTCAAAATTACTCATAATCTTGCAACTATATCCCTTGCAGCTACGCGATGTACGCGCTGTTGGCATAAAATTCTATCATGTGCTCTATCCAAAAGAAAAATCGAGTCTGCTACGCGATTGTAAGCAGTTAACTTAGTTAATAAAACGCATAAATTATAACTTACTTCCTTTGCAGGGGATCTCTGGGGACCACTAGTGCTCTGCACATTTATGGCAACCATACTGCAAGGTTCCGCAGACAGCATGTACGACGGTGGTCCAGAATTCGCACAAGTTTTTGTTATCGTGTGGATAGGCGCAGCCATAGTTACACTTAATTCAAAGTTACTTGGTGGCAACATGTGCGTACCCAAATAATATTTACTAGACTAATGACATTATTATTAATTATCTGCACCGTTTCGCCTTTCAATTTTTAGGTCCTTTTTTCAATCTGTCTGCGTGCTGGGCTATTGCCTTACTCCAGTGGCGATAGCATTGCTGGTGTGTCGTGTTATTTTGCTTGCAACTCAAACAAAATTGGCTTTCTTCTTGCGTCTGTTAACTACTACATTGGGATTTATATGGGCCACGTACGGTAAGTGATGAAATGCAGTATTTTTTGTTTTTGATTATTTGAGAAAATGTTGTCTTTTATAGCATCTTTTATATTCCTTGGCGAAAGTCAACCGCCAAATCGTAAACCACTTGCCGTATATCCGATTTTTCTATTCTTTTTCATTGTCTCTTGGCTCGTTATATCGCATAATTAAGTAAATAGCATATTTATCTCTATATACATACTTAGTTTATTCTAAACAATTTAAAATGAATTCCAGGGGACTACAACCAATATAATTTACACTATAATTATAGTATTGTATAAAAGCATAAGATAACCATATAAATAATAATAATAAAAAATATTAAATAAATAAAAAACGTATTTAAAGAATAAATGAGTTAATTGAATGCATGTAAAAAGGAATGAATCGAATCTCGCACTTATGTATTTTATTTTAAGTTTCATTTTGATATAATTTATTTCATTTTCCTTATGTTATTTATTTTATGTATTTATATATGTATGTATATTTATCCTTATTTTATGTATTTTACATTAATTTGTTTTATACCTAGTCTCCAAAGGGGAAGTTTCTTTGATCTCATTTAAGGATTCTGACCCCGCGAAAGTTTCAGCAACCATTTTTTCCTACTGAGCAAAATAGTTGACGCTGCAGCTGGGAATTCACGATAATAGGGTACTTGTTCCGACAATTAAGAACCCAAAATATCTCGGTGTTACTTTCGACGGGGATACCTTCTGATGTGGTCTGAGTAAGGGTGCATAATATAATGCTAAGTAAGCAGTTGATCGCCTTGCTAACGACGAGAGCACACGAACATGCACTTGGTGGAAGAAGAGCCTGCGCCATAGGGTATCTTCATGGTCTGAAGGACGACATCAACAGGATTCGCCGCCCACGAAAGTCTACCACGCCCCACGGGTCTACGTACCCGGGCCGACATTAATATCTGGCTAAGAACTGCCACTCCAGCATCCTTTCCCAAAAACTCTTTGGGGAATTTGTATGCCGTAACAATAACTGGATTCGCCGCTGTACTGACAGGCAACGAACAACCCTATAACTTTGGTCCGACCCCGTCGAAACAGCAGGGATTCTTGGTCTACAGCAGAGGTTCCCAAACTTATTTTTCTCGTAGACTCCTTTCAAAACTTTAATGCTTTCGGTGCGCCCCCGGATGCTAATTTCTAACATCCTACAACCGTTTCTAGTCTTCTGAAATCGGGTTATATTCTTCTTGGTCTCCATTACTTGGGGGTCTGTCGTCATCATCGGAAGCGTTACTATGGTAAGACTGCGAAGTAGGGATCCGATGTGCTGATCTCAACCCGGCTTCTAAAGTCGCCTGCCTGTAGGCTTGGAGACAATCCTCTCTTCCTTCCCAGCCACATTCGTAGACTGCGCAGCATGGTTTTCCGCTGCTTATTCTGAAAGCAGATGGCATAAGCTTGAAAATTCTCCAAAAAGTTTCTGAGCAACGAGGCCCATCCCAGTGGTAACCCCACAATGACAACATGTGTGAGGAACAAATTTTTGGTTTATTATTCTCTCGGAGGTGGCAATTTGAACTTTAAAATGTATTTATTCAAATCACCAGCGGGCAGCAAACCAGAAACCGATTTTTTCATACTTACAGTGAAACTACGATGCAAGCTGAAATTTAGGAAAAAAGCTACTCTCATCAAATGTTTGTTTAATATTTAGAGTTGAAACTCCACTGTTGTTGTTGTTGTTGTTGTTGTTGTAGCAGTTGGGGAGTGTTGCTGGAGTGACAGTCCAGACAGGCCAAATATAAATCTGGGTCGTTCCATTTACGTAGACCCGACTGTCGTGGGAACGCTTGAAACTCCACTGCCATTGTTTGCCTGCTTTTGTTGTGTAATGTAAAATGTATAAGCTACAATGTAATGAATCTTCCCCAATTAACTTTATTCCGTTATATCGAGGTTATTCTTCAAATACAGATATTTGCAAGTCTTTTTACAAGACAATTGGGAGACAGTAGGAGAGATAGTTTGAAAGATTTTGTTTATTCTGGCACGAAAGTCTTACAAATAAAGCTCCCTTGAGAACTTTCATGGTAAAATGTGCTTTTGACAGAAAGCACTTGAGCATGTGAGATTTATATCATTTTGCTCGCGCTGCTTCAACAGTCGCAATTGAATTTTTAGAAACTTCTTTTGTTTTATATTTTTTTATTAAATTTTTTTTTTTGTAATTTTTAGATGTTATTGGTTTCAATTTCATCTAAGCTTTAGAGGCTTATTTAATATATTTTTTCATGTTTATAATTTTATTTTATTTTTAAAATTTACTGCTTTAAAACGAAAATAATAGCTTTTAATATCATTTAATTTTTAGAAACTTATTTTATTTTTATTGTTATTTTTTATTCAATTTAACTCTCCTTTTTAATTATAGTTTTATTCTTATTTGTAGATTTTATTAATTTAAAAAGAAAACAAGTATAAGTTCGTGCGAAACTGACTTTATATACCCGGCGCAGGTATCAATTATCGACGTTTCAACTTTCCCTGAACTACCTTTGCATGATAAGTAGGAATGTTTACCCGATTTCAAACGTTTCCGATAATATGCAGAGTTAGACTTAATGTCATAATTGAACCTAGTTAGGTACAAATGGATTAAGTGATTACCGAGGTACACCTTTGTAGTTATAAAGCGGGCGGTGCCACGCCCAATTCCTAAAAGTCTATAGCCGTCTTATATATTGTTAGGAGATTGTTGTAACTATTAACTTGGAGTAAATTAGCGTCCTCAGTTAATGAAATATTGGAGTTTCGTATTTCTGAAATTTACCGTTATACGGGAAGTGGGTGTAATTTTAGTCTGATCTGAATAATTTTCAACAAACTGCTTTTCCGTACCAAGGTTATTAAGTGCACCGAGTTTGGTAGAAATTGATAAATCGGTTACCGAGATACACATTTGTGGTCATAAGTAGGCGGCGCACCGCCAAAATTTTATAATATTCATCGATTTTGAGTGAATTAGCTTCAGTAACTGCTGATTAATCGCAGTTTTCTTGTTTTGTAAATTACCGTTATATGGGAAGTGGGCGTGGTTACAGTCCTATTTCGCCCATTTTCAATACCAACCTACCTTGGATAGGTATAGTGTACACGGACAGACGGACGGACGGACAGACAGACATGGCTTAATCGACTTCTCTTTTCATTCTGATCATTTATGTATACATCTGTCCATATCTATCTCGATTCGTTTTGGCTGTTACAAACAACCGTTATGCGAACAAAAACAAGTGCGCTCGGGTATAAAAATTTAGTTTCATTTATTTGTTTCTTTAATTATTTTTTGAATTTAAGTTTCTTTTAATTTTTAGATTTTATTGTTTTAAAAAGAACGATATTTTTTATTTAATCTAGTTTTTAAAAACTTTTTTTTGATATATTTCTTATTATTAATTTTTTTCTTTTTTAAGTTTAATTTTCTATAAACTTTTATTTTTTAATGTTTTAGAATGAAATATATTTTTTCCACTAAAATTTTAGAAACTTATTTTATCTAGTTTTACTCTTATTTTTTAATTAAATTTTCTTTTAATTTTGAGATTTAAAAAAAAATAAATATTTTTCATTCAATTTTTGAAAAGTCATTTTTTATTTTTTAATTTTTGGAGACAATTTTATGTATTTATGTATTTTTATGTGTATATACATTTATTGTTTTTTTTTACTACTAAGACCTTCTCAATAGCAGATCTTTCAATTAGTCTTTGACAATTACCTTAAGAAAGACTTTTGTGTTTCGAAAGACTGTGTTGAGTGCGAAGACAGTTGCTAGAATTGCGCTGCAAACTTAAATTCTTTTATTTCACGGTACTTTTTTAAACTCAATGATTGGAAACACAAACTAATGGTGCAAATCGTATTCCAATCGTGTGAATGCACAAATATTTTTCTTCATCCCAATCACGAAAAACAATTTGTTCAAATTTTTCAATAAAAATCGTGTGACTACAAAAAAAAATGGTCCAAATTTTTTTATTTTGTACAAATAGTCCAATATAAAAATTGTACAAATCTGGCCTAATTTAGTTGCTTGATGACAAAATTTGCCAATATTAAATGCATTGATTGACCTTTTTTATAATTTATACATAGATATTGTTTTTTTTTTTATTTAAAATTGCATTCACATATAAACTCTTAGCTTAAAAATACATTAAAATATACATACACATAGACATATATCCTGTAATTTAATTAACAATAATGTCTACTACATACTAAACCAAACTTATTCTGCAAAAGAATGAGAATTACTTTGCACACATCTTCTTCTTGTCGCAAGCCCATAAAAGCTAACAGATTTGAAGCCACCGGCCCTAGCGCTCTAAACCGCTTGCTACACATGCTCTACATCCAAATTGTTTTTCGATTTCGATGCTATTTCCAATGACATTTGCGTACGTACGCCATCTTCGCGCCGATTGCGATAGGTTAGCGAATTCGCGCGTGCTTTCCGGCCCATGAAATGACGTTCAACCCATTTGAGTAGTGTGTACACCGAATCGGTTGAGGGCAAACGATGATCGGCTGCAGTGCGTACGATATCCGATGAGGTAACACGGAATGTACGCGCCATACCTTTTAGCGCCTAAAGTGGGGGTGTGGAGAAGAGAGTTGGCATTTAATATGGCATTCAAATTTTGCTGGATTCGATAGAGCTTATGCCTTTTTCTTTACTTACCACCATCGCATCCTCATCCGTCAGATCATCGCCCACGTAAATGATCTTAATTCGTTCACTCCAGTCAACGCCAAACGATGTTCGTAGTATATAGATTGACGCTCGTCCTTTGTTCCATTGTACGGGTGGACGTGCTTCGAGCGCACAATGCGCTTCGGTTGCTTTAAAACCATACTTAATGATGAGGCTACGCGCCTTCTCAATCATCGCCGGACGCAGTTCGACAGGTGTTTCACGATAATGGAATGTGAGCAACGCTCCCTTATTCTCTACCCAAGCGCCATCGCGACACACCTGAAAGAGATACACATTTTAGGTTAGTAAAGGAGAAAACTCGCTAAGTGATTCCAGATATTTTAAAGGTTTCGCGAGTTTTGCGATAATTGGGCAAATAGGTCATGGACGGCTTTTGTCGTAGACCACCAGAAGATCTATGTACCTATACCTAAGTTCAAAGGCTGCCAGAAAGATCTTTACACTAAGCAGGCTTGGGTAATATTGGATGTTAGGGCTTACGACCCTGCAAAGTCTGTGGAATTTCCTCATACATATCAGGTCAGGCCAACCTTTTTATTCGCCTCCGGACTGTACACAAAATAGACAAAGTGTTACGGACTCTGCAGTGAACTACTAACCATTGCATTTTGGAAATCATGCACTCAGTCTTAGCAACCTCCTACCTCGTGCCTCAGGATTTTTATTAAGAAAATCTCGCCATAAAACTCACCGAATCCTGCAGCGCCTTCAGCAAGTGGCTGACTTTGTCCTCGTACTCGATAGGCATAGGATGCACGAATTTACTGCCGTCGGGATGTAGAATTTCCAAGCCATGATTACCCGCATAGGTAATACCCTCAATGCCAACCATGCGCTTCACATTGTCAACGTTACGTCCAGAGATAACGGCGACATAAACATCGGAATGATTAGAAAGCTTGAATAGCACATTCTTAATTTCGGGTGACAGCGTGGCGAGATCAGGATGCGGTGCAATGGGTGCAAGCGTACCATCGTAGTCCAACAGCAATGCCAATTTGTGATTATAGCCGATGTATCTGTAAGCAAGTGAATAAACAAAAAAAGTCATATGTGAAGATCTTTAGCCTACCACACAGCAAACTTACTTTAACAAATAGTCATCGAAGTCGTCCACCGTAACTGGCTGCATAATTGTCGTACCCACATCATCTACGTCCAGCGTGCCCATAGCTTTCAAGAACGAACGCATCCAATGGCTAACATCACATTCCGACTCGCGTCTACGCAATCGGCTCATTCGCAATATGCGTTCGTCTTCGGGCATTGTGAGCGCACGGTGTATGACCTCAGCCGCTGCGTGTACCTCATAAGGATTGCATAGCAATGCTTCGTGCATCATTTCACCAGCACCGGCGAAAGGTGAAATAACTAATACGCCAGGACTCTCGTTGATCTGACATGCCACAAATTCCTTGGCCACCAAATTCATGCCATCACGCAGCGGTGTCACGAGACATACGGCAGCATCGCGATACAACGCAGCCAAATCATCCTGTGCCACATAGTCATAAATGTAGCGTATGGGCGCCCAGTTGGCTGTGGTGAAGCGACCATTAATGCGCCCAATCAACTGATCCACCTCTTCCTTCAGCTCTCTGTACTCCTTGACATCTGTGCGCGAAGGCACAGAAATCTGCAGCAGACTGACCTTCTCCTTATGCTGTGGATACTTCTCTAGCAGCGCTTCGAATGCCATCAACCGATGCACCAAACCTTTGGTGTAGTCCAGCCTATCGACACCCAAAATGACCTGCTGTTTATCGCTCTTTAGCACTTTACCTGCAGTCTTTGCCAAGCTGACAAAACGATCGTATGGAATGCCAATGGGTAGTGGACGTACCCGCACAGTGCGTCCACCATGTTCCACCAACAGATTGTTGCGATCGACACGACAACCCAAATTGCGTTGACAACAATCGACGAAATTCAGACAGTAGTCTTGTATGTGGAAACCCACCATATCACAGCCCAACATACCCTGGAGAATTTCATCGGCCCAGGGGAATAAACGGAAAATATCCCATGGTGGGAAGGGTATATGCAAGAAGAATGCGAGCCGACATGGCAGCTGTTTCTCCTCGGCTTTCTCGCGTACCCAATTGGCGGCAAGCATTAAATGATAATCGTGAATCCAAACAATTGGCGGCGTATTGTTATCCAATGCTTTGTTTTGTTCCAAACACTTCTCCAACGCCTCAATGGTACGTGCGGCAAAGTGTTTATTCACCGTTACATAGTCGTGCCAGTGCTCGGCGCCGAAGGTGGCGCGTCCGGGCATGGAGTGAAAGAGGGGCCAGAAGATCTTATTGCAGCAACCATTGTAGTAGCTGTCGAAAATAGCGGGGTTTATATTGACGGAAACGACCTGCGAGCAAATGGCAAAAGGAAAAGATGATAAGTACGTAATTACGTAGAGCGAATGTGATGAGGGATTGAAGAGAAGGTAAAGGTAGTAAAATTAAATTATGAAAATAAAGTACAGCAAATTTAAATGCTAAGAAAAAAATTAAAAATTTATTAATTTAACAAAACAATAAAGAACGTAATTACAATGAAGTAAAATAAAAAATTATATCAAAATAAATAGCATAAATTAAATAAAAAGTTGACTAATTTAAATTAAAAAAGAAACAAAAATATAATGTAAAACAATAACCGAAATAAAATAAGTTCAATTACAAAAAAAATTAAATAATTGAAATCAAAATAAATGCAAAAACTAAATTAAAAACAAATAACTCAAACAAAAACAGGGTAATTAAATTGAAAAAATTAGAAACAATATAATATAAAATTAAATTGAATGAAGAATAAATTAAATAAAATGGATTAATTCAGATAAAAAAATTGCCTAAATTAAAGCAAAAATGAGATTCAGAAAAATAACTAATTTAAAATAAAATACATATGTAATTTAAACCAAACCAAATAATATAAAATTAAGCAAAATAGAATGAGAGAAAGAATAACAAAAAAATATAAAAAATTGATTTTAAATTAAATAATTTAAATTAAAAAAAAACTATATAATAGAAAATAAATTTAAATCAAACAAAAAATAAAATAAAATTGAACAATTCAAATAAAAATGAACTCTTAAATAAAAATTGTAATAATAAATGTAAAATAAAATGAACTAAAAAAATTTAAATTAAAAATAGTATTAAATCAAGAGATAAAAATAAGTTAACATAATAAAATAAAAAACTTAATTAATAAATATATAGTTTAGATAAGCAATAAGAAAAGGAAATCAGAAAACTTACAAGTAAATAAATAAATTCAAATAACATATTTGAAATTAAAAAGTTAGATGAACTAAATAACTTACAAAACATACAAAAAGAAAAAATAATATAATAATAAATTAAATTACAACAATAAAAATGGTATATGAAATAGAAAAGGAAAAAGTAAGTTAAATAAAAATATAATAATATAAAATAAAATAAAATAAAATAACTCAAAATAATAACAAATTAAAATGAAATAGAACAATTCAATTAAAAAATAAATAAAATATAATAATTCTAAATTAAATAAAGTAACAATAAAAATAATCAAATGGAAAGAATGAAAAGAAATAAAACAAAAAAATTAAATACAATAAAATAATTTTAATCAATAAGTAAATCAAAATATAAAAATATAAAAAAATGTTATCTAAGTTAAATGAAAAAAGAAATAAAAAAAATATATGAAACTAAAGTTTAATTTTTAAAAATTTAATAAAATCAAATAAAACAAAGAAATATTAAATAAGACAAAAAAGATATAATTTAAAAATTTAAATGAAATGCAAATGTATAAATATAAAATTACGTAAAATTTAATATAAATCTTAATAAAAAAATCAAAAAAAAAAATTACATAGTAAAAAAAATTTTTTTAGCTTTACTTTAAGCTAAGCTTTACTAAACTGAAATAAAATAAAATAAATTAAAATAAAAAAATTAAGTAAAATAAAAATTAACAAACAAAATTAAAAAAATAAAAATTAATTAATTAACATAAAATGAAATGAATCAATAGAATTTCATCGACTCCTCCATATTCTTGACATCAAAGATAGCGTCAGGCACAAGCCTCAATTTAATNGGAAAAGATGGTAAGTACGTAATTACGTAGAGCGAAAGTGATGAGGGATTGAAGAGGAGGTAAAGGCAGTGAAATTAAATTATGAAAATAAATAACAGTAAATTTAAATGTTAAGAAAAAAATTAAAAATTTAATAATTTAACAAAATAATAAAGAACGTGAAATAATATAGAATTAATTAGAATGAAGTAAAATCAAAAAATTATATGAAAATAAATAGCATAAATTTAATAAAAAGTTGACTAGTTTGAATTAAAAAAGAAGCAAAAATATAATGTAAAACAATAACCGAAACAAAATAAGTTCAATTACAAAAAAAAAATAAAATGAAATAATATGAAATCAGAATAAATGCAAACACTAAATTAAGAACAAATAACTCAAACAAAAACAGGGTAATTAAATTGAAAAAATTAGAAACAATATAATATAAAATTAAATTAAATGAAGAAGAAATTAAATAAAATGGATTAATTCAGATAAAAAAATTGCCTAAATTAAAGTAAAAATGAGATTCAGAAAAATAACTAATTTAAAATAAAATACATATGTAATTTAAACCAAACCAAATAATATAAAATTAAACAAAATAGAATGAGAGAAAGAATAACAAAAAAAGTTAAAAATTTAATTTAAATTAAATAATTTAAATTAAAAAAAACTATATAATAGAAAATAAATAAAAATTAAACAAAAAATAAAATAAAATTGAACAATTCAAATAAAAATGATTTCTTAAATAAAAATTGTAATAATAAATGTAAAATAAAATGAACTAAAAAAATTTTAAGTAAAAATATTATTAAATCAAAAGATAAACATAAGTCAACATAAGAAAAAAAAACTTAATTAGTAAATATATAGTTTACATAAGAAATAAGAAAAGGAAATCAAAAAACTTATAAGTAAATAAATAAATTCAAATAACATATTTCAAATTAAAAAATTAGATGAACTAAATAACTTACAAAAAATACTAAAATAAAAAATAATATAATAATAAATTAAATTACAACAAGTTAAATAAAAATATAAAATAAAATAAAATAAAATAACTCAAAATAATAAGAAATTAAAATGAAATAGAACAGTTTAATTAAAAAATAAATTAACTAAATTTAATTAAAAAATAAATAAAATATAATAATTCTAAATTAAATAAAGTAACAATAAAAATAATCAAATGGAAAAGAATGAAAAAAATAAAACAAAAAAAATTAAATACAATAAAATAATTTTAATCAATAAGTAAATCAAAATATAAAAAAGTGTTATCTAAGTTAAATGAAAAAGAAATAAAAAAAATAAATGAAAGTAAAGTTTAATTTTTAAAAATTTAATAAAATCAAATAAAACAAAGAAATATTAAATAAGACAAAAAAGATATAATTTAAAAATTTAAATGAAATACAAATGTATAAATATAAAATTACGTAAAATTTAATATAAATCTTAATAAAAGAATAAAAAAAATATAATTACATAGTAAAAAAAAATTTTTTAATTAAAGTAAACTAAACTAAAATAAAATAAAATAAAAAAGATTAAGTAAAACAAAAATTAACAAAAAAAAAATAATTAACTAATTAACATAAAATGAAATGAATCAATAGAATTTCATCGACTCTTCCATATTCTTGACATCAAAGATAGCGTCAGGCACAAGCCTCAATTTAATAGCTCAAACGTATTATAAAAAAATAAAAATCCATAATTGAACTCACTAAATACATTTTTTTTTNAATTTCATCGACTCTTCCATATTCTTGACATCAAAGATAGCGTCAGGCACAAGCCTCAATTTAATAGCTCAAACGTATTATAAAAAAATAAAAATCCATAATTGAACTCACTAAATACATTTTTTTTTTCTCAATAATCTGCGACCCCACGTCATTGGACTTTGTTCTATTGACAATTCCTTATCTTCTTCAAGCGTACTTACATATGTATGTATGTATGTATGTATGTAAGTGAATGCATATTGACGACCGCAGGCAAGTACCTAGAGCAATTTTAGATTAAGCAATTTGGTAATAAACTTTTGGGAATGTCTTCCTTTTATACTTAAAAAAAAAAAACAAGCAATAATTCGAGAGAACATTCGAGGACTCTCCCCTCCCTTTTGAACAAAAAAATCTTAGCTAAAATTGTGCCATGATCTGCTATTATCGCCTTCGTCCCTTAGAAGCCTACTTAAGTATATTCCTTGCTGTTAGTCTTTAGGGAGTTGAAAATTTCGTTGAGTTGAGTGATTGCTTATGTGGAGGACCCAGTACTTATTATTCCAGTGAAAGAACTCGAACTGAACTTCTTCAAATATACTTGCGATTGGGTGAAAGGTGGTGCTTTAACTGGAATAAGTAGGGTACTTCAGACCACCTCTACTAATGTGCCCATTAATATAGCATTGTAGACAGAGTGATATCTGCTCGGTAAATTTATTTGCGGATGTATACAAGTTGGATGGAAGGCTAAGTGTACGTATCTTCTGCGGGAAAGCCTCCATCAATCTCAAATAACTATAAGCTAGAAAATCAATACTGTGTTTCGGCCCGAGCGGAATACTTTGCTATGAAGCTTATGTGGGTTGCAGGCCTTAGCGACATTGCAAGACCGATGAATTGGCAAGACAGGACACTCTTCAGCAGTTGCTTCCCGGTAAAGAGGAAGTTTCGATATTTAGTCTGCTGCTGGAAAGATGGGTGTCTATTCAACTCATCGAGCGCTAGGTAAAAACCTCAGCTCAGGAAGTGCGTGCCAAAATGTTTCCATCTTAGCCTTAGCAAGGCTAAGACCCATCTAATAGCAAGTGCTGAGAAGACTCCACCTCACCACCTTCTCTTGATAGCTGATATAAATGGATAAGGTGAGATTTCTAACCTTTCCACGTGAATACCAATTGCACAATGGCCTGACAGAAACCACACCAATAGCTATAGCTTTTTGCTTTACAACCTCTCGGTCCACCCCAAGCCAGAAGGATATTTCAAACGCGCATCTCCTACATGAGGCTCAACCGTTAAACGCAGGAGGACAGAGGTGTTTTTAGCTGGTCTGTGCCGGGTGATAATGTTTCAATATGGCTTTTCCTTGCCAAGTTTCAGCCACGCAGTTTACCCGCAATGTCACTGTGGACCAGCACCCAACTAAGCCTGATTAGGAGGAACTCCCACGTGGTTGATAGCGAGGTCAGGCGTTCCCTTACCATCCAACAAAAAGTTCAGTGCTACCTTCTTTCAGTAATCCCGCCTGTCCAGTTCTCTCTTGAGGCAATGTAGGGAGAGAAGAAGCTACTGGGTGCCATTTCGGAAGCGCAGTAATTTGTCCGTTCAGGGACGAAATCAATAACCTCCAGAACGGCAGACTTCCATGGTTCAGCATGACGATAAGCGCCTGTGTATTTGTGATTCTTTACGCCCCACTAAAGCCGATTAGGTTAATCCATACAAAGGATGCATAAAAGAAGATAGGCTTAACTATAGTTTCAACTCGAGTGGAATACCAAGTCCCTGAGATTCTCGTCCTGTTTACAGGAATGTTTAAAGACCTCACCCTACTCGATTCGCGATAACGGATCACGGATCCTCAAAGTGCCTCAAAACCGATTTGTTCGCTTAGATAAAATATTTGAAAGGTCAAATGAAATTCTACTTTTATATAAATCTTGATATGTTTTTAAGATTTCGTTCAAATAGCTACAGTGTTTTTCGCTCAATAAACCACNAGGCTTTACAAGCTTCCGGTCCACCCCAAGCCAGAAGAATATTTCAAACGCGCATGTCCTACATGTGGCTCAACCGTCCAAGAGTTGACCGCAGGAGGACAGCGGTGTCTTTAGCTAGTCTGTGCCGGGTGATAACGTTTCAAGATGGCTTTTCCTTGCCAAGTCATCAGCCACGCAGTTTACCCGCAATGCCACTGTGGACCAGCACCCAACTAAGCCTGATTAGGAGGAACTCCCACGTGGTTGATAGCGCAGTCAGGCCTTCCCTTACCATCCAAGAAAAAGTTCAGTGCTACCTTTTTTCAGTAATCCCGCCCGGCCAGTTCTCTCTTGAGGCAATGTAGGTAGAGCAGAAGCTACTTCGTGCCACGGCAGCCTTCATGGTTCAGCATGACAATAAGCGCCTGTGTATTCGTGATTCTTTGCGCCCCACTAAAGCCGATTAGGTTAATCCATACAAAGGCTGCGTAAAAGAAGATAGGCTTAACTATAGTTTCAAGTCGACCGGAATTCCAAATCCCTGAGGTTCTCGTCCTTTTTACAGGAATGTTTAAAGACCTCACCCTACTCGATTCGTGATCATTTTTGTCTGTGCTTATAGCAATATAACTCACGGATCCTCAAAGTGCCTCAAAATCGATTTGTTCGCTTAGATAAAATATTTGAAAGGTCAAATGAAATTCTATTTTTACATAAACCTTGATTTGGTTTTAAGATTTCGTTCAAATAGCTACAGTGTTTTTCGCTCAATAAACCACTTACCTGATCGGACTTCAAGCCCGCTGTAGGTGTTTGATCAGTTGGATTCGATTCAGGTATGGGCTCATTCGCATCAGCAAGATGTATGCCTGGCCAGCCGACCCACAAGCCTTTACCTTTAATCACTACCGGACAGACAGCAGTTACAAGTCCACCAGCGCTAGAGATAAGAGAAAAAAAAACGAGGAAAACAAACAAATTAATATGCATTGAATATTTGTAATAAACAAATTAAAATATATGTACATATGTATGTATATATGTATGTAATAAAGTACATAAATGCAGAATAACAAATTTTAATCAGTGATTACACTATGTATGCNTGAGGAAAACAAACAAATTAATATGCATTGAATATTTGTAATAAACAAATTAAAATATATGTAAATATGTACTAAAGTACATACATAAATACATTACAGTTTTTCATACATAAATGCAGAATAACAAATTTTAATCAGTGATTACACTATGTATGCTTGTATATATGTATGTACAGACTAGACAGGATAATACATACATATGTATGTAAGAGACACGGTGTAGGAAAGAACGGCGCCATCAATTTCTTATGCTTATTTGTGTTTATATGTATGAATAAATTTAAGTTCATATAAACAAGAGTATGTACATACATATATACCTACTTAGGCACCTTAATATAAACATGGCGAACACATAAATACATATCCATACATGTGCATCTAAATGTGAACCACTGCTGATAACACTAATACTGGTACCGGTGTTGGCACCACGGTCCAGCCTCTAGCCAATCCTTATATATCACCAAAGATCACGAGCTCTTAGTTCAACGTAATCGCTTTTGAGTCTAACAATAGAAAGGCCAAAATAAAATAAAAGAAAAAATAGTTGTAAGGCAAAAAAAAAAAAACAAAAAAGATGGACAGCACGGGTACAGCTCGGTATCTGCTGATTGAGTTGGGCGTCAATGGGTCCTTGNTATACATACATGCATACATAAATACAATATAACATATAAATGGCCATTAATAAACTGTAGCTGGTGTCTTAAATATTTTTGTTATTGAGTTGCTGTTGCTGTTAATAATTGAGCTTATTGGCATAGATCTGCAAATCCAAAAAAGACAACCCACCAGAAATAGTCAGGCGCGGTCTAATCGCACGGTATTTGTGGTCGTTTTATATCACCTCTGCGAGAAATAACACGATCCATCAAATCGCTCAAGCCAACAAACAACAAAAAAAAAAATAGGATTTCGATATCTTTTAAGTAAATTCCTTACTCTAACATTTAGGTGGCAACCCTATTCCGAAATACGCTGCAATGAATGGTACATATCTTGAGCGTATATGTACTGCATATACATAAAAAAATGTTGATTGAATTTAACAAAATAAAAATTTGTATTATATAGAAGCGTGGCAACCCTGATGGCAAATATTTTCTGTCCAAAGTTCTCAACAACACCATTCATTTGATATCCATATTGCGATGTTTTAGATAAATCGTGTAGTATCGAAAACAAGTGGCAACCTTACACCACTATTCTAAGGGATACCATTTTGTATATAGGGAAAGCATTGCTTAAGGACCTTCTCTTGGTACCCATGAATACTAATATTTTACCTTTTTTATATATTATATTATATTTTATTAATTATTTAATTTACTAGCAGTTTTTCAAGGTTTTCGGCGCTTATGCCGACTTATAGCAAGATAGAGCTTTGAAAGCCTAAAAAAAGCGCTGAACTACTGAAAAACTTGGTGCTGCGGCTGTAGCTTTAGAAGTTGATTGTTTTTATTTCAATATACGGGTTATTCCATGAAAATTTCACAGTTTTTAAAATTTAAGTGAAATAAATTTTATTCGAAAGCTTTTTAACTCCAACATTTTCTCATCGTGTCATCAGTGCCATGAACTACGCAGGCAGGAGCTTCACAGTGCCTGTGGTGGCAGCCAAGAAGCTTCAAAGCATTGGTCAGCCTTCTAACCACCGTCAGAAACTGGGTGAATATCTCGCTTGGGCACCCAGATTAAACGAAACACGAAATCATTATAATTGAGGGTGTGCAGTCGCAGTGCTGTTTTTCGCACGCATTTCTTATGTTAGGCCTGTCCATTCTGACAAATTTCTATGAGTTGTGTGGTCCGTGCGGCTTACTAAGTTACCAGCGTATAGTTAGTAGTAAAACGGAATGACACGTGAAACTTTTTTACTTTCAATATGCTTTCGATTCTCCAATGCAGTGATGTCCAGCTCATAGCGTATTATTTGAGCTTGCTGGCTGATTTAAACAAATTTCACAGAACTGATTGTACCAAATCAATGAGTCTCGGCTTGCCGTGACTCATATACTTGTGTACTCCTTTTTTCCGTTTCAGCTAAAAACTTGGGGCTGTCACCGCATCTCTTTTACGGTATGTACACCACAGTCATCACAGTTAAAAACAACAATCAAAGAATAATTGGAAGAGAGTACAGAGATTCCTGATCTTTTACTTGGAGCCAACACGAGTATTCGTAATAGGTGCAGCTGCAAACGGGTCCTTAACTGAGGGAATTAAAATTGTGGCAGCAGACCAACTACGGGCCCGCAGAAGTTTTAAAGACAATAAATAGTGAACGATGTAACGGATTCAAGACCGACTTAGACGTCGAAACTGACTAGCTCACGTCATCCTGGGATTTTAATCCCAAGATTCCCATATATTTTCCAACCAGGAACAATTGGGAAAGGGGTATACCTTCGGTAAATGATGATATTTCCTCTACACCGATGGCTCAAAGAAGGAAAAAGTAGTCGACTCGTCTCATACGGGATAGTGATCCTCTGTCAGGGAACGTCACATATTTCGTTGACAGCCAGGCGACATTGAAAACATTAGACTCGAGGGTGGTAAAGTCGAAAGCAGTTCGGAAATGTCATGCAACGCTGGCTTCACTGAGTCACGTCTAAGCCTTTCTCTCCTGGGTTCCTCGAAATAGCAATATAGAAGGGAAGGAAATAGCCGATGAGATGGCTAAACACGGCTCGGAAATGCAAATTAGCGAAGCAAATGTCTCCCTACTGCCACCGATTTCTTTTCTGATTGATGAATATACCACAGCCATAACTAATGACCTATGGATCAATCGGGACGACTGTTAGATCTAAATATCCTTGTGGCCGATCTGCAGTAAGGGAACTTGCCGGTGTCATCAAAGGACGCTGTGCTATAGCCCCAGTTCTCCATCGGTGGCGTGTTCCAACAAGCTCCTTCTGCAAAAGTTGTCGGGATGCGGATTAAGAGGAATCCACATACCACTTCTTATATCAATGCCCAGCTCTGCAGACAAGGCGTTTCAAGCATTTGGGATCATGCTTTTTCAATAGCTGGGGGGAAATAACAGAGCTGAAAATATCGAACATCCACGGCTTCACCCGTGATAGTAACTGGTTTGACAGACTTTATACTGACCGTATGGATTAACCTCGGTTAGAAGGAGGTGCCGGCTGGCATTCACAGAAAACATTCACAATGGACAAATCTGCCCAGTTCAAATTTTATTTTGCACCTGGCACGTTTACTCTGATTTTTAATTTTATTTGACATCAGTAATTAGTGTTCAATGACTCCAGTTTGCAGTGACATATGGGCTGGACATAACGGTGCGTCTCCACAGGCAAAAGTTGTTATCTTGTCAATGTTATCGGTGAATATTTTACTATGCGGTCTCTATATTGCTCTGGGAAGTAATAATTATCAGAGTTTTTATCTTGATAAATATTGCCGGTGATTTGGTGATTTGACAGCTGCATTTTCCTTTGCGCGAAAACTTCGTGGCGGCAACATAATTGATATTTTAATAAAAAAGCAAAAATTTTTCTGTTTTTTGTAGCCATTTGAATCTTACAATTTATTACACTAAAATTGCATGGGTACAAAACCGAATTCGCAACATTTTCCTGTAAATATTATTAACTTATTCACTGCAGGTCATTAGGATAGCGCTTTCTTTTGTTTACTTGTTTTTTTTTTTGTATAAAATTGGTATATCGGATTTAAATGGTTTTTATTTATAATATGCTTTAGTTTAAAAAAAAAAAATTATTAATACAATTAAAATTATCTTTTAAATAAACAAAAGGAAAGCTGTAGATACTAAGAACCAATAGAGTGCGCTATTCAAATGACGAAGAGTGTATCTAGCAACCAAAGTTATAGCTGGAGAGCAATAAATTTTATCCTATGGGGATGTCCAATTACAATGTGCCATCTTACAAGCAAACAAAAAAGTTCTCAGCCTAAAGTATTTTATAAGGCAATTTCGAAAAAAAAAAATTGCCGAGCCTCTTACATTTTTCGGTGAAACCTACATACATACATACGGCAATAAATTTTTTGAAATAAATTTGTTTGGAACAATCAAAATATTTACAAAACGTTTATTTTTTTATGAGGCTTATGGCTCTATTCTGTATCAGTGACAAATTCTTGTCACAGTTTTTTGTACGGAAAAATAAATGAACAATTTTAAATTTGTCAGTAAAAAAAATTTGGTCACCGATACAGAATTGAGCTATTAATTTAGTAATAAATATACGTTAGGGTGGTACTTTTGAGTAATAAACACCGAGTTCTTGTGTAAGGGTAAGTTTTAGAACGGGGTACTTGAGGTCAATGAACTTTGGAACAAACAAATTTTCTCCTCGACACAAAAACATCGATATAAGAAAATTGTTAAAAAGCGTAACATATCTGGAACTAATAAATCTATAGCACACCTATTTTTATGCACAAATGTGACAATCTTAAAGTTACATCAATATCTGCGACATACTTTCGCCCCACTTTGCACCAGGGCCACTTCAAAAAACGGTGCGGTTGGGTTCAGTGGTTTGATCCACTTAGAAAAAGGTTGTACCTACTCCCAAACCGCGGTTCGGTTCGGTTCAAATGGTACAAGTTGTTTTTTTTTGTAATGATAAAGGGTGCAAATAACGGTGCATTCCAAAACGTCAAAATACAAAGCATCAGCCTTTTTTTATTTCTAAACCTCAGTAAATTGTAATGCCAAATGTGCGCACCCACGTTTGGATGCTAGTTTTCAACTCGGTTGCGCAAGTTAGACTTTTCCTGCTAGTGCGGTTTAGAAATAAAGGAGACTGATGCTTTGTATTTTGACGTTTCGGAATGCATCCTAACACAAATCTATGTATGTATATTAAAATAAAGGTTTTGTTATTGAGATTAAATTCAAGTAACCACATTTATGCTGGTGTGAAAATAAATAGGGACGCTAAAGTTTAACAATTTTGGCTATATTTTTTTTTTTGTTTATTTAAGGCTTACTTTTTTAAATATAGTTTGTCGTCTAATAAAAACTGATTAAATTCAAGATGAAAACTTTGTGCAAAAGTTATGTAGATTCTTCAAAGTTTCATCTAATTTTCAAACTTTTTAATAACAAGTTCCAGAAAAAAATTTTAAGTTTTAACTTGATTTTTAACAATTTTTTCCATATGCATTTTCTTCCACATAAAAAGATTTCAAGCATTTTTTTATATGGTTGAAATTGTAACTCACAGAGATGTCATTAAACTCAAAAATCTTTGCAGTTTTACCATAGGGTTGCATTTTTAGACAAAGTTGTATATTACGAAACTTGCAAAATGCTTTACTTCTTGGAGTGGTTTTCGGTTCGGTTTTGGCATTTTTCAAAATAAAAAAGGTTCGAAGCCCGAAAAACAGCGACGGTTCGTTTTAAAACCGGTTTGCAGCCCTGCTTTGCACCTAAAAACTTATCAGCTGGCTAAAAAATTTCAACTGACCTCGAACTTATTTAAATACATACATACATTCTTTATTTTAACTATGAATTAAACTTACCTGGCTTTACGTTCCAATTCGTCAGTTTTTGCATTACGACTCAAAACGAATGGTAGACGATTCGAAACCACAATCAAACTGGCCTTTGTCACAGGCTCGGATGAGTTCGTAATCACAATTTCTGTTTCGACCATTGTCTTGTCGTCGCTGGTTGTGCTGGGGCTGGTGGTGATAGTGTTGCAGCTCGTCGTATATGCCAAAAAGTTTAAAATTGGACTATAAACACACAAATGGTGTCAGTACTTTAGTTAACAAAACTAGGTGTACGAAGACTTAAAAACTTCTTTTTTTTTTGTATTTTAAATAAAAACGTAAACCGTTAATCTAAACCATTTAAATACTTTTGGCTCTTTTGACGCTTTTTTTTCGCAAGAGTTTCTTTAGCACATAAGTTAACAAAAAAATAAAGGTCACTTAATTATTTGAAAATTATGTCAAAAAACGTAATTTCGCTTCTGTGTTTTTTTTTTTTTTTTTGTTTGTTTACGTGGACTTTGAAAATGTCACAAACCCCATTTAAAAAATGTTTGCGCTCTTGCTTTACTACTAGGCATATATGTATGTATGTATGTAGGTATGTAAAATATTTTGATACTAATCGGGAATGTTTCTTCTTTGTTCCTAAAAAAAAAAACAACTGTGGTGCTGTTGGGTCCAAAGCGTTGCTGTTGTTTTACGATGATCAACGACGAACGTTACGAACAGTGGGAAGTTCAACAACGAACTGAAGTAAATCACGTTCAGGATACGGCTTGTAAACCAAGCTCGACGCTTTAAAGCGATCACAATTTCACTCGCTAGATGCGACTCGACACTACCCGTCTCGTCTCAGGCAGCGATCCGCGGCGAGAGGTGATTTGACTTGTCTTTATTCGACTTCGACTACAAATAATGCGGTGTTTTTTTTTTTTTTTTAAGTAGATAAGGTGCCTTGTTTGCAATTTATTTTTGTGATATGTTTGTACTATGTACTATATAGTATACTATGCTAGTTATAGCGCCAAGTTTTTTTTGTCGCTTTTTGTTTTTGTTCTTTCGTTTTTGTTTTTTTTTTTGCCTACAATCGCGATCGTAATCAATCAACAAATGCGATGTGCGCGCTCTGGATTACAGCCACTTGTACTACTCTGCGTGACAATGATTTTCCGTAGACCGACCCTATATATAAGAATCTAATGGTTGTTAGGTAGAGCGCAGAGTAAATTTTTAAGTTTCTATGTATGCATGTTTAGAGTTCATTTGTGTAGACGTTTGTATGTACATATTGTTGTTTTGTTTGCAAATGCACTGCCTTTTCAGTGTTGCCAGGTGATCCATATTCAAAAATGTATGTATGTATTAACCTTTTATTATGTACATACATATGTATGCAAGGATATACCATCTATCAAGAAAGTACGCGGTATTGTTCAAATGTAATTAAAATATTAAGATTAATTTAAATTTAGAGTAGGTTAGGTTAGGAAGACACGCTTACGAATGACTCGTTTTTCCACTCGGAGGCAGACTTGCCCATTGTGAATACATACCCTCTATAAGTGCCAAGAGGAGGCACAGCCTTCTAACTAGATTTATTGCCTAATGTCAGTATTGTGTCACTTAAACCATTTACTATCTCGGTTGAAGCTCTGGAACTGCGATATTTTCGTTCCGCTAACTCTCCCAAACTGTGTAGAAAAGTGTCATCCCAAATGCCTGAGATGCCTTTTCTGGAGAGCTGTTGGCCATTACATCGGAAGTGGTAAATCGATTCCACTTTTTCCTCTTAGGAGCCCTTCCTGCATATTGGTTTAGCGTTAATAATTCTTGGGTGCCACTCTTATCGAGTCTCTGCCTTGAGGATCTTGAGATCTCACATCCATCACTATTGATCCAAATATCATTAGTTACCTACTGCTGTGGGGTATTCTTCAGCCCCCTTAAGAGAAAATAAATAGGTGGTGGCAAGGAGTTTGCATTTACGAGTCGTGTCCAGTCATCTTATCATCTACAGTATTTTGTTCCTTTCAATATTGGTATGTCAAGGTATGCAGCAGAGAGCGGTTTTCGCGTGACTCAGTAAAGTCAGCGCGCACTACATTTCCGAACAACTTCCGACTTCACTACCCTGGAACGGAACGTTTTCAATGCCGTCTCGCTTTCAACGAATAAGGTGACGTTCCCTGAGAGAGATTTGCTATCCCGTATCTGACAAACCGCCTACTATATGGCAAAGATCTCTCCCTAAAAGAAACATCAGTTAGCAGACAAGCGATACAAGGCAATCATATCTGCAGATCCTTGGAGTATAGACACAGAACTTCTATGTGCCATCAGCTTGTTTCTTTAAATATCTCAACCTAAAAACACGAAAAATGCAGGTTTGGCAAATTTTCAAGGTTTCGTCGCATTGTGTTCAGAATCGAATTCAGCTACCCAAACTCTATTATAAATGGCTAGCTGTATCTCAGATAAATTTTCATGTCGAACTGTGAAAATACAACTATCTCTCCCAGTTTGAAATTTCGGGCTTGTCAAAAACACGTCAAGTTTTATCCCAAAAACGTCTTAACGTTAACGAAAAAAATAAAAAAAAAACGTCAAAATGACGTTAAAAATATCCATCTGGCAACGCTGCCCCCGAGCATTATCAAAAATTTCCGAGTAAAGCACACACACACACACAGCCGCACATACAAATAAGTGCATCCACAAATACAACGATCACTTGCACGGCAGCCGAAGTTGTAACTGCAATGAAACGATCAGCTGAAATGACGGCGATGGCAACACATCAAAAACAAAAACAATGCAATGTGTATGTAAATTTTATGCCTGTGTGTGTGTATGTGTAAAAAAATATAAACAATAATAAAGTATTAAACAATTATTGTGTGTAGATTGTGTGCCGGGTTAGCGGGGGCACCTGCGAGGTTTTTTTGGCGGAACAGCAACATTTCACCGTTATCAGTTTTCTAAGGCACGATTTCAATGGGTGACAACCAAAACAGTTATATGACAATTCAAATAAAATTATTGGCCCTAGTAGATTTAGCAATTCATAGCTGGCAAGCTGATATTGCGTCTTACAAACATAATATATACAAGCTAAATACATACATACGTACAGTGGCGATAATATAAATAGGAAAGAGACATTTTACCATTATTTGGCTATTTGCCTCGTAGCTCGTTATCTAACAAAAACCATGTAAGTCAAAAATTCAAAATTTATACAAAAATTCATGAACAATTTTGAACTTTTTAATGCGGAGTACGAATTACTAATCAGAATTTCCATACAGTTCTTAATTTACTATTGTATTACCTGGTACAGAAAGATAAGATTCGAAGAAAATAACCAAATGCCTGATAGTTAATTATCGTACGGCTGTCACTTGTCAGCAACAGGATTGGTTACTCCAGGTAGGATTTTGTAGGATAAAGCGAGACCGGGTACTGCTAAAAAGAATGACAGTTAAGGAAATCGTCCCAGAACCAAAAGTGAATATCTAAAAGGGAAGACTTTTTTCTGGCGCCTATCCAGAGGCTCTAAGAGGATAAACCTGTTTCAGGACAATCTATCCTATGCCCATCAAGTTTGCTATCAACCCTAACTCCTACGTAGCTACTTCAAATTGAATGGGCTACAAAACTGCATGCTCAAAAAAATTCTAAAATATTTAATTGAAGTTTCAAATTTTGATGAGCATTTATGTTAAAATTAAGGATGTGTGCTTAATCAATTCATCAAACAAGCTGATTATTCGAAACCTGATGAATTAATTAATCAAATAATAATAATTTTAACTAATCAAAGTGATTAATTTCTTGATTAATTACATTTTAATTAATCAGAATATAATAAATTTTTTTAATCAGAAACGTGAATAATTGCTGCTATGTTTTTTTTTTTTTGTTTATGAGTAAACAGTAATTACTCAGGATCTGATTAATCAGAGTGTGATTAATCACTTTTTCTGATTATTCAGGATTATGCTTAATTAAAAAAATTATTTTATTAATTAATCGCACATCCCTAATTAAGATTCGTTGAATTTTTATAAATGTTCTACAAAGTTTGAAATTTCGATAGACATGTTTTTTTTTAACTCTTAGCTACATATATGTATATGTATACTTTCATAAAAAAATAATAAACGTCTTTCTTATTTACATTTTCTCCACCGTATGTGTATGTATGTATATGAATCTACTAAGTATGTATGTAAAAATATGTGTATGGAGACTAAGCCCATAAGATCATAAATAGTTTTGACGCGGATCCAGCTGCTTGCTCGTGATTTTGGCTATCAGGGGCACACGCATACAAACACCATGACAGCGTAAAAAATGCTGTGAAATTTGACGGGTGACGATTAAATATTTAGATCATCATTTGTTGAAAAATGGTGACTTGGAAGTTGACCGCATGTGGGAATGTAGGCAACAATTTCTTCCCCCGAATTTGAATTATCGGCCTCTAGCTTCTGTTTTGGCTGTTTTTGTTTTCCATGTATCTTTTTCTTGTTGGTTTTTTTGCACGGTTATCAGTTGCTGACGACAAAGGTTCTACCGCATCCCGTAGATGACTTCATTATTAATAAAAAAAAAAAAAATCACCGGCTCTTAAAAGCTTATCACTCCAAGGTACATACTAGTTTGCCACTGGAAGTGTATTGTAAGTCTCGAAATGAGATGAATTCTTGGCATGATTTATGTTTTATTTTTCGTACGAAATATTTGCGAAAATATGTTTGTAATTTTTAATTGTTTTCGTTAATACACTTCCTTGAAGGAGATGCAAAAAGACATTTTTCCGCCGTTTGCCCGATCACCGAGGCATATAGGAGCTCCTGGCCTAGCACAATGAAGATTATAAAGTTACTCATAAAAACAATTTTTTTTTTTTTTAACAGCAACAATTTCAAAACCACCCAGCTCTTGTTTCAACCTGTTTCATCTGCCCAAAATCGGTGAGCTGTCAATAGATTACCATTTTTTCGAAGTATGTACATATTTATGTACATATATGGGTATGCATGATCCATACATATGTATATAGTATGTTCTCGTACATATTCGCATACATTTATACGCGTATGTATGTATACGTACATATGAATGTTTTAATAATGATGAATATTTGTAAATTTATAGGCAGACTACGCATCGACTTCTTAATACATATTTCTATTATTTTTATAAAGATTGATATTACATATGTACGTACGTTAATTACATACATATGTATATTTTAGAACGTGATGCCATTTAAAAGAAAGGACAAAGATTGGATAATACATACCTACAAATTAATATGTACATTAGACTTGGTCAATTTCGTATGGGGGAAAATAAAAGTCATTTGATTATATTGTAATAGTAAGATTATATTGTCCTAACCCTGCAGGAAATGTTTCTAACTATAAGCCAACTTTAAGTTGATTAGGAAGGAACTAAAAGCCCCTATTATCTGTATATTTTCTTTGACGAAACTAACTATATTTCTATGGCGAAGGCCGCGAAATAGTCAAGGGTGGTTTACCTCTACATTTGATGTAAATACCTTGTAACTAACTACTTTTGGACACAAAATATTAATGAGAAAACCTAAATATTTGTTTTTGATTTTTTTTTAATTTTTTATTTTTATTCACCTTTTTTATTTTATTAGATTTCATATTTGCTTCCATATTCTGCTGTAGGTTTCCGATATTCGAACTCCGTCAGACATAACTTCATAATGATAATATGAAATTTCGATCTTCCTTTTATTTATCCTCAATTCGAAAAAGTGTTTGCGAAGTGCAGGATATTTATATAGAAATGTA